ATAATTGACAACCGTAAACCGTAGCACAGGCTATTTTTCAAAATTTGTCATCCGTGGGATTTGAACTCTAGACCTGCTACTTGGAGAGGGTGACGACTAGACCACTACACTAAGTCGCCACACCTCTAAATAAATTATTATATATAAAAACTTTATTTCTATATTAATATAGTTGTGTTAGAATTTATAAGATTATCTATAGTTTATAATAACAAAATAAAAGCTTTGATTTCATCTTACCTTTAAGGATCTTTTTGCAATCACTATTCATTTTTATATCATTATAATAATATATATTTTTGACAACTTCTCCAAAAGCTACTTGAATTTCATTTTGGCTAATATTTATTAATAATATTATATCATAAAACCAACTACCAGCATTTGTATTGCATTTATCCAAATATCTTTTTATTTTCAACTGAAACTTTCGATCTATATTCTCAACTTTACTTCTAATTGGAGATAAAAGTTATAAGATAAACTTGCATTTTTTTAATCAGACAAGAACAAATTATTTACTTTTTATACAGATTACTCTATTAATATTCAAAAAAACTTCTTCCCACAGTCTATTTATGATCCGACTTCTATATACATATTCTGACATATTGGCATCTATTAAAGGATTTGAAAACATATCAAGCTACTAATTATAGATAATATTATTATGTTGTTAATTACATAGAGGATAATTATTAGAATAATTATAAATTATAATTAGAGATATTCTTACAAAGCTGTATACACTTGTTGAATCTATCTTAATATCCAATCTCTTACAAATAAATAATTATTTTCAAATGGAACTTGACTAATAGCAAACTCAACTTTGTTCAAATCAACGTAACATCTAGTAGTATATTATAAGATTATATTTTCATATCTCTTTAAAAGTAATTAGAGATTACTCTCAATTGGTAATAGAGAATTTACAATCTTCTCCTCAATCTAGAATATATAATTAATTGTTAGTAATTGAAACTAAAAAAAAATTAAAATTAACAGAAAATACATCTTTCCTCATTTTGATTATATTATTATCTATTCTGTATTAGTAAACAGCCATTTAACTGGATCGTTAAGATGAAATTCAGGCAAAAATATAATTTTGTGACTTAAAATTTTCTCTTTAAGTATAAGAAGTTTTTTAATTGTTGGATTCAAAGTTTGTGATGCAATATAAGATTTGTAATACTATAATAATGAATAGCAATAAGGTGTAAAAGAACAAATATGTTGAACCCTAACAGGTAACAGGTTTATATTGGTTTCATCTTCATTTTGAAAAAGTTTATTTGATAGCACCAAAGTGATGCTAGATAGTTTCTTATTATCCACATTATCAAATGATTGTTGCTTATATTGAATTTTACAAATATTATTATATAATGCTCAATTTTAGTATGTTTCATTTTCATCTATTTATGATCACTCTGTAATATTAAAATATAAGAGTGGTGACATTTATTACATAATATTCTAGGGGGGTGAGAATCAGGCAAATTCTTACATTACACTTATGTATTATATATAATATATATATAATATATATATAACATAGGAGTTTGCTATTTATCACCACTGGTGATTATCACCAGTGTTGCTATATTTCAAAAACGTACTAAGTAAACGGGATTGAGTCTTCTAAGTAAAAATGTTCAGGACCTCCAAAAACCTTACAAGAACTAAAATCGGGCCCTATCAGGCCCTTATAGTAGCTCTATAATATATTATATAAAAAAACAATAATTCTCTAATTTCTAACCCTAACCCTAACAAA